CCCATTTTTCCCGAGGAAATTCCCATTTTCCCACAGAAAATTCCCACTTTTCCCATTTTCCCGAGGAAATTCCCTGATTTTTCCGGGAGAAATTCCCTGATTTTCCAGGGAGAAATTCCCAGTTTTCCAGAGAAATTCCCATTTTCCCACAGAAAATTCCCATTTTCCCGAGGAAAATTCCCATTTTCCTGAGGAAAATTCCCAGTTTTCCAGAGAAATTCCCATTTTCCCAAGGCAAATTCCCAGTTTTCCAGGAGAAATTCCCATTTTCCCGAGGAAATTCCCTGATTTTCCAGCAGAAATTCCCATTTTCCCATAGAAAATTCCCATTTTCCCGAGGAAAATTCCCAGATTTCCAGGAAAATTCCCATTTTCCCCAGAAAATTCCCACTTTTCCCATTTTCCCGAGGAAAATTCCCAGTTTTCCAGGAAAATTCCCATTTTCCCCCAGAAAATTCCCAGTTTCCAGAGAAATTCCCATTTTTCCCGAGGAAAATTCCCATTTTCCCATTTTCCCGAGGAAATTCCCATTTTTCCAGCAGAAATTCCCATTTTCCCATAGAAAATTCCCATTTTCCCACAGAAAATTCCCATTTTTCCAGCAGAAATTCCCATTTTCCCATAGAAAATTCCCATTTTCCCACAGAAAATTCCCGCTTTTTCCAGGAAAATCTCTCCACATTTTATTTTCATCGAGCGACCAAAGGGGAAAACCAAAACCCCTGGGGAATTCCCGGGAATTGCGGGATTTTTCCCGGGATTTCAGCAGAAGACTTTCTCCAGGTAGGCGTTGAGGAAGATCCCGTGGGGATCCAGCTTTTCCCGGATGGCGCAGAATTTCGGGAATTCCGGGTACATCAGCTCCAGCTCCTTCCGGGTGCAGCTGTGAGCCTGCGGCGGGGAAAAAAAAATTCCAGGAGAATTCCCCGATTTTCCCAAAAGCTGGGAATTTTTTCCCATTTTTCCCATGTTTTTCTTATTTTAGGGATGTTTTACCCCGTGCCTCAGTTTCCCTCAGGAAAAATCCTTCCCGTTTTCCGGGATTTGGGATCGATTTCCTGTTAAAATTCCCAATTTTTCCCAAAATCTGGGATTTTTTTCCCATTTTTTCCTTATTTTAGGGATGTTTTTCCCGTGCCTCAGTTTCCCTCTGGAAAATCCCTCCTCTTTCCCGGGATTTGGGATCGATTTCCATGCAAAATTCCCAATTTTTCCCAAAATCTGGGATTTTTTCCCATTTTTTTCTTATTTTAGGGATGTTTTACCCCGTGCCTCAGTTTCCCTCTGGAAAAATCCTTCCCGTTTTCAGGGATTTGGGATCGATTTCCTGTTAAAATTCCCGATTTTCCCAAAATCTGGGATTTTTTTCCCATTTTTTCCTTATTTTAAGGATGTTTTTCCCGTGCCTCAGTTTCCCTCTGAAAATTTCCTCCCAATTCCCGGGATTTGGGATCGATTTCCATGGAAAAATTCCCGATTTTCCCAAAATCTGGGAAATTTTTTTCCCCCCTTTTTTTTCTCTTATTTTTTAGGAATATTTTACCCCCGTGCCTCAGTTTCCCTCGGGAAATTCCCTCCCAATTCCCGGGATTTGGGATCGATTTCCTGTTAAAATTCCCGATTTTTCCCAAAATCTGGGATTTTTTCCCATTTTTTTCTTATTTTAGGGATGTTTTACCTCGTGCCTCAGTTTCCCTCTGGAAAAATCCCACCCAATTCCCGGGATTTGGGATTGATTTCCATGGAAAAATTCCCAATTTTCCCAAAATCTGGGAATGTTCAGGAAGGATTTTTCTCCCTTTTTTTCTTATTTTAAGGATGTTTTTCCCGTGCCTCAGTTTCCCTCGGGAAATTTCTGCCCAATTCCCGGGATTTGGGATCGATTTCCATGGAAAAATTCCCAATTTTCCCAAAATCTGGGAATTTTTTTTCCCCCTTTTTTTTTTTCTTATTTTTTAGGAATATTTTACCCCCGTGCCTCAGTTTCCCTCGGGAAATTTCCGCCCAATTCCTGGAATTTGGGATCGATTTCCATGGAAAAATTCCAAATTTTTCCCAAAATCTGGGATTTTTTCCCATTTTTCCCATGTTTTTCTTATTTTAGGGATGTTTTTTCCCCCGTGCCTCAGTTTCCCTCGGGAAATTTCCTGCCCAATTCCTGGGATTTGGGATCGATTTCATGTTAAGATTCCCGATTTTTCCCAAAATCTGGGATTTTTTCCCATTTTTTCCTTATTTTAGGGATGTTTTACCCCGTGCCTCAGTTTCCCTCGGGAAATTTCCGCCCAATTCCTGGGGTTTGGGATCGATTTCCATGGAAAAATTCCCAATTTTCCCAAAATCTGGGAAATTTTCCCATTTTTCTCCCTTTTTTTCTTATTTTAGGGATCTTTCCTCCGTGCCTCAGTTTCCCTCTGGAAAAATCCTTCCCATTTTCTGGGATTTTGGGATCCTGTTAAATTTCCCAATTTTTCCCAAAATCTGGGAATTTTTTTTCCCCCTTTTTTTTTTTTCTTATTTTTTAGGAATATTTTACCCCCGTGCCTCAGTTTCCCTCGGGAAATTCCCTCCCAATTCCTGGGATTTGGGATCGATTTCCTGTTAAGATTCCCGATTTTTCCCAAAATCTGGGATTTTTCTCCCATTTTTTCCTTATTTTAGGGATGTTTTTCCCGTGCCTCAGTTTCCCTCTGGAAAATCCCTCCCAATTCCCGGGATTTGGGATCGATTTCCATGGAAAAGTTCCCAATTTTTCCCAAAATCTGGGAATTTTTTTTCCCCTTTTTTTTTTTCTTATTTTTTAGGAATATTTTACCCCCGTGCCTCAGTTTCCCTCGGGAAATTTCCGCCCAATTCCTGGGATTTGGGATCGATTTCCTGTTAAGAGTCCCGATTTTTCCCAAAATCTGGGATTTTCTCCATTTTTTTCTTATTTTAGGGATGTTTTTCCTGTGCCTCAGTTTCCCTCTGGAAAAATCCTTCCTGTTTTCCGGGATTTGGGATCGATTTCCTGTTAAAATTCCCAATTTTTCCCAAAATCTGGGATTTTTTTCCCATTTTTTCCTTATTTTAAGGATGTTTTTCCCCGTGCCTCAGTTTCCCTCTGGAAATTTCCTCCCAATTCCCGGGATTTGGGATCGATTTCCATGGAAAAATTCCCAATTTTCCCAAAATCTGGAAATTTTTTTTCCCGGTTTTTTTTTCTTATTTTTTAGGAATATTTTACCCCCGTGCCTCAGTTTCCCTCGGGAAATTTCCTCCCAATTCCCGGGATTTGGTATCGATTTCCTGTTAAGATTCCCAATTTTTCCCAAAATCTGGGAATTTTGCCCATTTTCCCCATTTTTTTCTTATTTTTAGTGATGTTTTACCTCCGTGCCTCAGTTTCCCTCTGGAAATTTCCTCCCAATTCCCGGGATTTGGGATCGAATTCCTGTTAAAATTCCCAATTTTCCCAAAATCTGGGAATGCTCGGGAGGGAATTTTTCCCATTTTTTTCTTATTTTAGGGATGTTTTACCCCCGTGCCTCAGTTTCCCTCTGGAAAAATCCTCCCCAATTCCTGGGATTTCCTGTTAAAATTCCTGAAAAAGAAAATATAAAAAAAAAAAGGGGAAAATTCCTTCTGGAGCATTCCCAGATTTTGGGAAAAATTGGGAATTTTCCCATGGAAATCGATCCCAATCCTTGAAAAACAGGAGGGATTTTCCAGAGGGAAACTGAGGCACAGGGAAAAAAAAAATTCCCGAAAATAAGAAAATAAAACGGGAAAAAAATTCCTTCGTGAGCATTCCCAGATTTGGGAAAAATTGGGATTTTTAATGGGAAAATTTTTCCCAATCCAGGAAAACGGGAGGGATTTTTCCAGAGGGGAAACTGAGGCACGGGAAAGGGGATCCCCAAAAAAACCCCCCCAAGAATTCGGGAAAAATTCCATCCTGAAAATTCCCAAATTTGGGATTTTCCCGTGGAAATCGATCCCAATCCTGGGAAAAAGGGAGGGATTTTTTCCGGAGGGAAACTGAGGCACGGGAAGGCGATTCCGATTTTCCCGGGACAATTCCCATTTTTCCGGGGAAAATTCCTGATTTTCAGGGGGAAAAAATCCCAATTTTTTTGAGGAAAATTCCCATTTTTTTGGGGGGAGAAATTCCTGATTTTCAGGGGAAAAAATCTCCCGGAAGAAATTCCCGGTTTTCTGGGGAAAATTCCCATTTTTTCCTGGACAAATTCCTGTTTTCCTGGGATAAATCCGGGATAATTCCCAATTTCCCAGGATAATCCCAATTTTCCCAAAATCTGGGAATGCTCAGGAAAGCATTTTTCCCATTTTTTTATCTTTTTTTCCCCCCAAAATCCCTTTCCCGTGCCTCAGTTTCCCTCCGGAAAAACCCCATTTTCTGGGATTGGGATAGTTTTCCATCCAAAATTCCCAGTTTTCCCAAATCTGGGAATACTCAGGAAGGAATTTTTCCCTTTTTTTTTTTTTCCTGGGATCCCATTCCCTTTCCCGTGCCTCAGTTTCCCTTTGGAAAATAATCCCTCCTTCCATTTCCAGGGATTTGCATCAATCCCAATTTTCCCGGGATAATTCCCGGTGTTTTTCCCGGCTCATTCCCGGTTTTCCTGACCCATTCCCGGTTTTCCTGACCCATTCCTGGTGTTTCCCTGATCCATTCCTGGTTTTCCTGACCCATTCCCGGTTTTCCCGTGCCATTCCCGGTGTTTCCCGATCCATTCCCGGTTTTTCCCAGCCCATTCCCGGTTTTCCCGACCCATTCCCGGTGTTTCCCAGCCCATTCCCAGTGTTTCTGGTGCTATTCCCAGTTTTTCCCTGCTCATTCCTGTTTTTTCCGGCCCATTCCCGGTGTTTCCCGATCCATTCCCGGTTTTTCCCAGCCCATTCCCGGTTTTCCCCATCCATTCCCGGTTTTTCCCAATCCATTCCCGATGTTTCCCTGATCCATTCCTGGTGTTTTCCTGGTGCCATTCCCGGTTTTCCCGATCCATTCCCGGTGTTTTTCCTGGCTCATTCCCAGTTTTTCTGGGCCATTCCCGGTGTTCCTTGATCCATTCCTGGTTTTTCCCAGCCCATTCCCAGTGTTTCCCGATCCATTCCTGATTTTCCCGTGCCATTCCCGGTGTTTCCCAACCCATTCCCGGTGTTTCCCGATCCATTCCTGGTTTTCCCGGTGCCATTCCCGGGTTTTGTGGCCCATTCCCGGTGTTTTTCCTGGCTCATTCCCAGTTTTTCTGGGCCATTCCCGGTGTTCCTTGATCCATTCCCGTTTTTTCCCCGCCCATTCCCGGTGTTTTTCCCGACCCATTCCCGGTGTTTCGGTGTTTTTCCCGACCCATTCCCGGTGTTTCCCAGCCCATTCCCAGTGTTTCTGGTGCTATTCCCAGTTTTTCCCTGCTCATTCCTGTTTTTTCCGGCCCATTCCCGGTGTTTCCCGATCCATTCCCGGTGTTTCCCTGATCCATTCCCGGTTTTCCCAATCCATTCCCGGTGTTTCCCGATCCATTCACGGTGTTTCTGGTTCCATTCCCGGTTTTTCCGGCCCATTCCCGGTTTTCCCCATCCATTCCTGGTTTTCCCGATCCATTCCCGATGTTTCCCTGATCCATTCCCGGTGTTCCTTGATCCATTCCCAGTTTTTCCCAGCCCATTCCCGGTGTTTCCTGATCCATTCCTGGTTTTCCCGTGCCATTCCCAGTGTTTTTCCCGATCCATTCCCGGTGTTTCCAGATCCATTCCCGGTGTTTCCTGATCCATTCCCGGTGTTTTTCCTGGCTCATTCCCGGTCTTTCTGGTTCCATTCCCAGTTTTTTTCCCAGCCCATTCCAGGTGTTTCCCGGCCCATTCCCAGTTTTTCCGGCCCATTCCCGGTT